CCTGTAGTCCCAGCTACTTGGGAGGCGGAGGCAGGAGACTCACTTGAGCCCAGGAGTTGGAGGTTGCTGTGAGCGTGATACCATGGCACTCTACCTAGGGGGAGAGCTTGAGGCTCTGTCTCAAAAAAAAAAACATTGTAAAGGGATATGAAGAGGTTTTTATTACAGACAACCTTTGATTATTTTGAAATTTAGCTGAAGTTAATTTACAAGTTACCTGATGGCCTTAGTCCTGGTATGCAACTTTCTGCTGGTATTATTCCCAATGTGTCACATGGGTGATGGCATTAATGACATCACCAGAAAGTGTGCCTTGGTTCTCAAGAGTCTGTAGTTTTGCCCAGTTGTATTTTAGGGCATTGCAAGAGCAGCCATTTATCCCACCATGGGTAGAAGTGCCGAGTTAGCAGCTTAGCTCCCATTTCTAGGATTGCCTCTGGGCCATAACCACAAGTGCCCCTTTGAAAATAAAAATAACAACTGGACAGGCAACTCCTGTGGCTCAGTGGGTAGGGTGCTGGCCCCGTATACTGAGGTGGCTGGTTCAAACCTAGCCCCAGCCAAACTGCAACAGAAAAACAGCAGGGCATTGTGGTGGGCACCCGTAGTCCCAGCTACTCAGGAGACTGAGGCAAGAGAATCACCTAAGCCCAAGAGCTGGAGGTTGCTGTGAACTGTGATGCAACATCACTCTATAGAGGGCAACAAAGTGAGACTCTGTCTCCAAAAAAATAAATAAATAACAACTGTATTAAGTTTTATCCTCGAGTCTTTATATAGTCTGGGTTTAGTGCCCATAACTCAGTGGTTAGGGCACCAGCCACATAACCAGGGCTGGCGGGTTCGAACCTGGCCCATGCCTTCTAAATAACAATGACAACTACAACAAAAAAATAGCCAGGCGTTGTGGTGCCAAGCCAGAATATCTCTATCTCTACTCTCTATTTTTTATGCGTATTTAACCTTCAAATGCTTTATCAAATTTTATACAAATATTTATGTTTATATAAAAATAAATACATAAGCAGATATATTATCTCTATATGTGAGAACATAAAATGATGAAACAAATGAGGCAAATAAAATTCAATGGTAAATCTAAGTATAGAAGTATTACCGGTGACACTCTTGGAAAATTGCTATGTTTGAAATAATTTCCAAATAAAAACTCTAAAACATTCTGAAAGTAGCCCTTCCCTCCTAACTCCTCTTCCTGGTAGTATGCCCATGTTAACAGTTTTATATGTGTACTTCTCGATCCATTTTTATGTGGTTTTTTATTGTGGTAAAATATAAATAATGTAAAATTTACTGTTTTAACTATTTTTAAGTACACAATTCAGTGCATTAAATACAATAATGTAGAACTCCTCTTAAGTTTGTGTGACATCCTCGTAGAGAAACCAAGCCAATATTCTCTAAATCATACCAATTTTAGTGTATATGCTGCTGAACAGAGTACTCTACACATTTTTAAACATACATGTTCCAACATTATAAATGCAACCATACTGTACAAAGAAAAAGAGACATTCCTAGTAAAATAAAAACAAAAATTTCATCACTGGCAGAGCTACAGATATAAATGTTAAAGGAATCTATTGGGGCAGAAAGAAAATGATAACCAGTGGAAATTTTAATCCAGACAAAGTAATGAAAAATTCTAGAAATAGTAAATATGTGAGTAAATATAAAAGTATTCCTATTCTATTTAATTTCTTTAAAAGATATTTGAATATTTCAGCAACACCCGTAGGTAGAGCACCGGCCACATACACGGAAGCAGGCAGGTTCAAACTTGGCCAGGGCCTGCTAAACAACAATGACAACTGTAACCAAAAAAAGTAGCCCAGTGTTGTGGTTGGCGCCTATAGTCACAGCTACTTGGGAGGCTGAGGCAAGAGAATCGCTTTAGCTCAGGAGTTTGAGGTTGCTGTGAGCTGTGATGCCACCGCACTCTACTGATGGTGACATACTAAAACTCTTATCTGAAAAAAAATTTTTTTTTTTTTTTTTT